GAATTTGTCATACCAATAACCCACGAGTTTGAGAACTCTAAATTCGAAGCACTTAAAGCATATGAGGAATGAGGCTTTACCCAAATTTGCTAAGGAACAGGTACTTGTTGACTTCTCCAATGAATCAAGAAGTGCCCTTAATCTTCCAATGTCCTCTTTGTTGAATTCACTATGCTCTCCACCACTGGCATTTGCAACGTCCATGTCTCTGTCTTCCCGCGATTGAGTCATATGCACTTGACCCCGCTGCGTTCCACCCTTAGGTCGTTCGATTGAGAGCTTGGTGGTTTCCAATGCAGCTTCTAGCATTGCTCCTTTGTATGGTGGGATTTTTTACAAAAGGTACACCAAAGGTTATCCTTGTTCGAGGGCCGTGGCTCCAATTTCCTAGCCTCTGAATTTCCAGCATTGAAGGTTCGTGGTTTCTCCGTGTTGGACTTCTTCTTTTCATCATTGAAACTTCCTAGCATCGCTGATCCTTCAACTGGTGGTGTAATGAGCATAACTCCTCTTCGACTCTCTTCGGCATTGACAATAGAAATAGTCTCATTCAAGGATGGTAACTCCTCTTTACCTAGAATCTGAACCCTCACTTGATCAAATTCCATGTTTAATCCTGCAAGGAAATCATAAACTCGCTCCTTTTCAATAAAGTTCTCCAATGCAGCTGCATCTTCACTACACTTCATCTCAATACATCGATAATGATCCATCTCTTGCCACAAACTTTTCAATGAATTGGCATACTCCGTGACTGAACGCTCACCTTGTTTGGCTGCCCAGAGTTTAGTCTTAATCTCAAAAATTCATGCAACATCTTTCACCTTAGAATAGATCTGTTGTGCCGCTTCCCATATATCCTTGGCCGTTGGTAGAAACATGAAAGTGGCACCGATTTCTGGTAGTATGGAATTCCACAACCAAGACATGACCATGGAATCCTCTTCATCCCAAGCATCAAACCTGGGTTCCCCCTTCTTGGGTCTAGTACCAAGTAGATGACTAATTTTCCCTTTTCCCTTCAAGAATGTTCGAACCACCGGAGACCATTTCATGTAGTTTTTTCCATTTAATATGTAGGCAACCTTACTTGGAAGTTCTCCCGTCGAGTGAATCAATTGTGTCTCTTCTGGCTGGGCAGTATTTCGAGATTGGGAAGACTGTGTTGTCATGGACATGTTGAGAGGGAAAAGAAAGATTGATTCTAACAGGAAAAAAGGCCGAAACAATGAGGGTTGAAACAAGAAGCCAGGATTGAAAAAACCAGCGATTAAGGCTGTAACAAACATAGAATATCAGCGATGAAGACTAAGAGGAATGGCAATGAAGGACTGGAACAAAATTCAGCGATGAAGGTTGAAATGAAGAAGGCCGAACAATGGCTCTGATACCATGTGGGAAATCGGAGAATATTTTTCATTCATCCTGTCAAAGAACTCGGATACAAATATATACACTAGGCTATCAATACAATCTTAGGAAGTTGACTATTCTAGAATAAAACTAACAAATAAGGAAAGTAGGATATTTACAGCTTAATTTCCTATGTTTGACAACACAAATCCTGCCTATTATTGATACAAATCTTCTCATACTATTTTGGGATATGTAATCCCGGATTTCCAACAGTTACTTCATATGCTTATTGTTCTCTCAAAATGAGTTGCCTTTAACTAGCATTTTTGTGTGGACAGTTGTTCAATTAAAATCTAAATGAGTCTGTGTTCAATTACACACATATTGCAGAAAGAATGGTTCAAAAAACTTCTCATTCATTACTAAAATTTACAGGCTATAAATAGCCGAATACAAGCAGAAAGAAAACAATAAAGAAAAATAAAAAACAGGAAATAATAAAATACAGCTAACTTTCCTAATTCTAACTTTCCTAATTCACAATCTTTGACTAATCTACGCAAATGAAAGAAGGAAACAAATCTGCCTATTTACATCAAACATAAACCGGAAAGTTGACTAATCTTTTGAGAATAGTCTGTGTTTTTCAACACTCCCCCCCAAGCGGGATGGAGAATATCTTCCATTTGTGAGAACATCAGCAACTTGATCAGTCGTGGGAATGTATGTCATGCAAATCTGTCCACTGTCAAGTTTCTCTTCGATAAAATGTCTATCTACTTTTACATGCTTTGTTCTATCATGTAGAGCTGGATTGTATGCAATAGAAATTGTTGCTTTATTGTTGCAATATACTTTCATAAGTGAGACCTCGGCCAGTTTCAAATCCTCCAGTAGTCTTCTAATCCATATTACTTCACAAAGTCCTTGAGCAAGACATTTTCTCTATCCACTCGGCTTCAGCACTACTTCTCGCAACGACATTTTGTTTCTTGTTTCGCCAAGTAACTAGGTTCCCACCAACAAAGGTACAGTAGCCCGATGTTGATCTTCTATCAGTTGAACTTCCAGCCCAGTCAGCATCTGTGTAAACCTCAATTTGCAAGTGTCCCTGCCTTTTAAATAACAATCATTTCCCAGGAGTTCCCTTTAAGTACCTTAGGATTCGATACACGACATCAAAGTGTTCTTTCCCAGGTGAATGCATAAACTGGTTCACCAAACTTACTGCAAATGCGATATCTGGGCGTGTATGAGCCAAATATATTAGTCTTCTAACGAGTCTCTGATATTGCTCCCTGATCACCATTTCTTCTTCTTTGGCCAGTTGTAGCTTTAAGTTTGGTTCAAGGGGTGTCTCGGCTGCCTTACAACCTAGCATGCCTATTTCACTAAGTCAAGTATATATTTGCATTGATTGACGAATATACCTTCCTTAGACCTAGCAAACTACACTCCAAGGAAATACTTCACCGTCCCTAAGTCTTTGATTTCAAACTCAGCTGCAAGTTTCTTCTTCAAGGTTCCCAACTCTGCATCATCATTTCCTATTAGGATTATATCATCCACATAAACAATTAGAATAGCAATCTTATTGCCAACCGAGTGTTTATAGAACATAGTATGGTCCGCTTGACTCTGGGAGTAGCCATAACTCCTTACAGCTTGTCCAAAACGTTCAAACCACGCTCTAGGGGATTGTTTAAGTCCATAGAAAGACGTCTTCAACGTACATACTTTATTCTTCCCGAATTCTTCTTCAAAACCAGGCGGTAGACTCATGAACACCTCTTCTTCTAAGTCTCCATTTAAGAATGCATTTTTAACATCCAACTGATACAATGGCCAATAATTATTCACGGCTAGGGACATTAGAACCCGGATAGAGTTTATCTTTGCAACTGGAGCAAATGTCTCATGATAATCTATTCCATAGGTTTGTGTAAACCCCTTCGCCACTAGTCTTGCCTTATATCTTTCTACGCTGCCATCAGCCTTGCATTTTACTGTAAATACCCACTTACACCCCACAGTCTTCTTATCACTTGTCAAATCAACAATCTCCCAAGTCTCATTCTTTTTTAGTGCATTCATTTCCTCCATGACTGCTAATCTCCAATTCTGATCATCTAGTGCTTCCTGGATATTGATTTTGGAAAGAAATGCTCTATGATTGCAAGAAAGTCTGTGATAGGATAAATATTTTGCAATGAGGTGATTAGTACAAGTTTGGACGCCTTTCCTAATGGCAATTGGGATACTAAGAGGAGAAATACTACAGAATCAAAATCCTCCTGAGCTTCTGGTTTATACTAGGAGAAAAACTCAAAGAAGTAATAAAGACCAATCTGCTCTAGCATCAGACCAGCCAAATCCGAGTGATGGTACAGAGGAATTTGAAGGAATAGGAGATGAATTTGAAGGAAGAGGAATAGAATTACCTGAAGAATCTCTTGGACCATCACTCGGGTTTGGCTGGTCTGATGCTAGAGCAGATTGGTCTTTATTACTTCTTTGAGTTTTTCTCCTAGTATAGACCAGAAGCTCAGGAGGATTTTGATTCTGTAGTATTTCTCCTTCTGCATGTTCATTGTTTATGCTTGGGGATGATGGAATAGGATTTCCTTTATTTCTAAGATCCTGAACAAGTTTTCCTGACTAGTGGTTTTAGAGGGCAAAATGATTGATTCAGAAATTATATTCGATAATGGAGTAAAAGTATTCCAAAAATCATTTTCTTCTCCCCCCTCTGAAGATAATTTCTGCTAAAGTAGGGTCGGTCTTCCACAAAAGAAACGTCCATACTTACATAGGTCTTACTAGTTTGAGGGTTATAACACTTATATCCCTTCTTGTTTGGAGCATAACCTATGAATACACATTTTTCAGCCCTTGGATCAAATTTTGAGTGAGTTTTGTGGGGTATGTGAACATAAACTGTACAGCCAAAGACCTTTATTGGTAAATCCGAGTGTATCCTACATTCTCAAAAAATACGTTTAAAGCATTCTAAAGGTGTAGTATATTTTAAGACTCGGGTAGGCATCCTATTTATTAGATATGATGTGGTTAGAATCGCCTCTCCCCACAAATATTTTGGGACATGCATAGTGAACATTATGGCACGGGCAACCTCAAGTAAATGTTTATTCTTTCTTTCGGCAATCCCATTTTGTTTAGGAGTATCTACACACGTAGATTGATGGTGAATCCCTTTTTCCTTTAAAAAATTTCCCACATATTCATTGTAGTATTCAATTCCATTATCAGTTCTTAGGATGCTTATTTTGGTTTGAAATTGATTTTCAATCATATTGTAAAATTCCTTAAACAATTTTCCTACCTCAGATTTTTCATTCATCAAATATATCCAGCATAATCATGTATGATCATCTATAAATGTTACAAACCATTTTTTCCCTAATAAAGTTGTTACCTTTAAGGGCCCCATACATCACTATGCACAAGATAAAATGGTTTAGAAGGTTGATAAGGCTTAGTAACATAATTGAGGAAATAAATGTTTAAGATATGGAAAACTAGGATATCCTAGTCTATAATGTCAAAGCATAATTTGTTCATAAACAGAATTTGAACTAATACTACTAAGACCTTGAGCCTTTTTATTACTAGCGAATTCTTCATCGAAGTAATAAGGACCGTCTCTCATCCTAGCACTGCCAATCATCTTCTCCAAGTTCCGGTCCTAAAATTCACAACGAGAGTCAAAGAATACAACACGATAGTTATAATTTTTAGATATTTTACTGACAGACAAAAGATTGCAGGCAAGTTTAGGAACATGAAGTATAGACTTAAGGTCTATATTTCTTGAGAGTTTAATAGAGCCTTTCCCTGCAATAGATGAGAAACCACTGTCTGCAATTCGAATTTTTTCATTACCAGAACAAGGAAAATATGTAGTGAATAAGTGTGAGACACTGGTCATGTGAGTAGTAGCTCCTAAATCAATGATGCAAGGAGAAGAATTGAAACTTGTGCAATAAGAAAAAACACTAAAATCACTACCTATTTGGGCCAAGGAAACATTAGGAGTACCAGAGGATGAATTAGATTTTAGCAGTTTCAAGAGGAAATCAATTTGCTCTTTGCTGAATGTCTCGGCTACATTGGCTGAGGAGGATGCATGGCTGGTTTTTTCCCCGGGGCTGCTGCCTTTCAAATTTGCTGGGTTTCCATGAAGCTTCCAGCAAGTTTCTCGGGTATGACGTGGTTTATTTGGTTTATTGCAATAATCACACCATGCTCAAGATTTTTCATCGAATTGCCGCTGGTTTTGGCTGTATGATGACTTGTTCGCAGCTTGATTTCCGGCTGGGGTTTTGGGTTCTTCCGCAGCGAGAGCAGTTGATTCAGTTGGGTTCACAACCCCCTTTTTTCCCAGCTTGACAGACACCTGGTCTCCTCCCTTCTGACTTCTGAGAATACTTCTCCAATGGAGGGAAGAGGCTTTCTTCCAAGGATTTTCCCCCTTCATCAAACTCGACGTTAAGACCTGCCAAAAACTGAAAAATTCTACCATTCTCTACAGTTTTCTTGTGATGGTTACAATCCTCCGGACTTTTCCATTCATAATCATTAAACAAGTCTAAATCCTGCCAAAGATCCTTAAGGATATTAAAATACCTAGTCACACTCCCCTCTCCTTGCCGAGCCTCTTCAATCTTCTGTTGGAGTTCAAACAGTTGTGAATAATTTCCAAGATCTGAATACATTTCAACCACACTATCCCACAGTTCTTTTGCAGTGGAATAGCACATGTAATTTGCACTGATTCCCTCGACCATGGAGTTCACCAACCAGGCCATAATCATCGAGTTTTCTGCATCCCATGTTGCATATGCCGGATTAGTATTCTTAGGAGCTTGAGTTTCACCTGTCAAGTAACCTATCTTTCCTCTTCCCCGGAGTACATTCGAACGGATTGGGACCAACGCAAGAAATTTCCCTCATTAAGACGAATGGTGGTGATTTGCACCGAATGGGAATCATGGTGCAACAGTCAGGTTTGATTGGTTTTCGTGGAATAAGTTGAAGAAGATTCAGAGGTTGTTTCGGACATGGTGAATAACAAGGAGAGGAAAAGAAGAAAAAAAAAATCAGTGATGGAGGCTGAAACGAAGAAGGCAAATATTGGCTCTGATACCATGCAGAAAGAATGGTTTGAAAAACTTGTCATTCATCACTGAAATTTACAGGCTATAAATAGCCGAATACAAGCAGAAAGAAAACAGGAAAGAAAAATAAAAAACAGAAAAGAATAAAATACAACTAACTTTCCTAATTCACAATCTTTGACTAATCTACGCAAATGAAAGAAGGAAACAAATCTGCCTATTTACATCAAACATAAACTGGAAAGTTGACTAATCTTATGAGAATATTATGTGTATTTCAACACATATGTTACATTGTTACTTCATATGCTTATTGTTCTCTCAAAATGAGTTGCCTTTAACTAGCATTTTTGCGTGGACAGTTGGCGGGAGTGAATAGGCCCGTTGCTCTTGCACAAGCAAATGCAATTCTTAATCGAATTGATCTTCTCTGTGAGGTATGATGGATTTCTCTTTCAATATATGGGTATAGATTTTTTTTTTAAAAAGAAATTATGCATCGATATAAAGTTCGTGTTTGCTTGTTTACCTAAGAATGGTGTGTACTCTTAAAAGGTGTATAGATATTTCTGGTCCTATATGTTCCTGATGACCTCAAATTCCAGTAGATGAACTCATATATTCACATAGAATTATAACAGATAGGGGGAGCATCATTATTTGGCATTCTTCTCTCCAAGTTTGATCCTGTAACCTGCCTGAAGTTTGCTGCTGGTTTAATGGTGTGGTCATTGCCATTTGCGGTAATTGGTCTTCTGTTCACCTTTTGTGTACCATTTCTTCGGTCTTTCTTTCTTTCAATTTTTCCTTCTTAGGAAGATAAGTGTTATTTTCATCCTTCACTGTATAATTCGAATTCTCAGGTAATCCTGACATGGTTAACCAACAAGCTCTCTTCCGGAGTTCTTGACCGCCCTAAATGCTCACAAACTTGTTGCAGAACATTCGATGATGGAGCTCTTCCTGATGCCGAAAGTATAGGTAAAATTTGGTGTTTGAACCGTTTTTTGCTGGAAAAGAGAATATTCTTCGTATTTCATTAATTGAATCCATGGATAAACCAGTGGATAAAGGTGTGGAAGCTATCAAGCTCGGGTGGAAGGAATACATGCAGCAGCCAGTTCTTCCTGCAAGCCTTGCTTACGTGCTCCTTTATTTCAATATTGTTCTCACTCCAAGCAGTTTGATGACAGCATTTTTAACACAGCGTGGTATCGTCTTAACTTTTTCCACAATTCACAAGTATTTGGGTGGGCTTGATTGTTTCTAAAGTTCAAGATCTAAATTAATTGGGATCACCTATAATATACTCTAACCAAGATGACGCCAACTTATATTTGCTGTAAAAATATAATACCCTGAAGAGATCTAACTATCAATAGTCAGTGGCTGCTATGTAAGATGCTGCTGAACTAGGCGATTTAGTATATGACACCGATATTTTAAGTTATGGGCTTGTATTTACTCTTGATTTCTTCAAATTACAAACTACAGTTTGTGGATTATTTTGTGTGTTGTGGCCTGAGATGTCCTCAGTATCATCTGTCGACACCTTTAACGTATGTTGTTTAAAATCTAGGAATTGGAAGAGTGATTTTTCTTAGTGTGCTTTGGTGCCGATGCCATTTTTCTTTTTTCTAATTTTCCCTTCTTAGTTTTAAACCAAGAGAAGATCTTGTACTACAACCTCACAAAATTTCTTGGCTTAAGCTTAATTTTAACTGAGATGACATTCTTTAACAGGTCTAAATCCATCAATCATAGGGGGGTTTAGTGGATTATGTGCTTTCATGGGTGTTGCAGCAACATTTGTGTCTGTGAGCCTGATCAAGCGACTTGGTATTCTAAAGGTTGTTGTCCCATTCTTTCTTATTTTCTCCACTTTATTATAATTTAGTATTAGATCGAGTTCTCAAAGAGTCTCTTAACCACCAGGCTGGAGCAACTGGATTAATATTTCAAGCTTCACTTCTCACCGTAGCTGTTGCTGTATATTGGAGTGGATTTCTTTCTCAACAGAGCCCTCTTCTCTTCTTCTTGTGTATGATTGTAAGAATCATTCTTGGCTTTCTTTTTTTCCTAATATCTAATACATTGATTGAACATAAAATTCTTGTACAAAACTTTAGCAAGTTTTGACCAATACGTGCTCCAGATGTTTTGGACATAGATTCACTATGGTAAAGTCAGTCAGATTAGCGACGGATTAGATGCTGGAGCATGGAGTATTTCCATTAAATAGGATTTTGTGGGATGACGTAAATTCTGATTGTATTAGTTGTTCTAATCATAAAATTATAGCCAGTTTAAATATGTTATAGCGAGGTAGAATTTCAACCATACTTGTTTAACTTGTTTTTATACCATGAGTGTACGTAGTTTCTAGGATTTCCCTGCGACAGGGTGAGATAACTCTCAGTTCCTATTGTAATCGCACATGTTCTCTGTAAATAAAGAACACACTTTCTGGTGGAAACTTTGGAAAAGTTCTGGCCTAGAGCTTTTTGTCAGATTATTCTTCTGGAGCTTTAAGAAAAGCTATACCACTTTTGCTTTTAGGTACTATCAAGACTGGGACACATGTCGTATGATGTGGTGGCTGCACAGATTCTTCAAACTGGCATACCATCCTCGAAAGCCAATCTTATTGGGACAACAGAGGTTGCTGTTGCTAGCGTGGCTGAATCTACGATGTTAGGAGTTGCAATTATTGCCAATGATGTTTCACATTTCGGATATCTAGCTATGCTATCACTTCTATCAGTAGTGGGGTCAGCAGTCATGTACTGCCGATGGTTGTATAATCCTACAGATGAACAAAGGAGTCTTTTCTCTTTTTGAGGCTTCATTTTAATCATTCTTGTAAGTATGTGCATATGTATGTCTTTATTTAATGATAATGATGATTGTTATTTGCCTTAATTAGATTATATAGAAGATCTCTGTGAAATTAGTCTAACTTGTAAACTTCACTGACTGCAGATTGGGGCCTCTTTTCGATGATATCTAGAGCTGTCTATACCTTTTATAGTGACCCCCATGAGGTATACTTTCTACATCCTCGGTGCTCCAAATTTTTTGTATGGTAAATTGGCTGTAAATTATGTAACACGCCTAAACTATATATTAAATAGATGACATGCGTCAAATAGGCTTATTTATTCAAACATTTTAGAACATTTGTAAAGCTCAGATCAATTCAGAATTCCCTTTTTTGCCCCTGAGAACCAGGCTTTAATTCGACTTCCCTGCACATTTCTGTACTGTTACGTTTTGTGATTCTGCTTTCTCTCTTCTGGTAATGAGGGGGAAAAAAAGAAAAAAAAAAAAAGAAAAAAAAGAACCTGAATAGAAGGGAACACACTATAGAATCATCAGGCCTCTCCTTAGCTAATTTGTTTGAGTGGATTTCTTTCAGCTAAAACTGAATTGCTGATCTTGCTAATGCTATTTGGCACACTGTAAAATAAATAAATAAAGTTTGCAATGATAGTTATTGTATTGTTCTATTGCATGGTATGTTTAATGAGACCTGCAATCCTATTTGTCGTCATGGGCTATATACAACAATTTTTCCTACGCTAATAGCAAAGTAATGTCATGCTGTGTTACATCATGCATGAAATTATAACTAGGCTTTTTATAATCGTACGGCCATGATTTTGATAGATCATGGAAAACTCTACGTGCATTTCAAGTTTGTTCAAGTTTTAAATGCGAGTCCGACTTGGTAGCTATTGGGGTAATTTCTTACGTTTATTTCTACCCGATATGTGAAATGTGAATGCATGGTACTCCACGACAGTTTAAAGTTCAGATGCAGAGAGGTCATTAATGAATTATTTATTTTCACTCAGAATAGAATAGCTGTGTAGAGTAATATGGTGTCTAAGTAAGTACACTTGAATTTATGCCCTATGACCTGATGGCTGATGGTGGGCAATTAAGATATAGATGATGGATGCATCATACACCTATCCTCAAGGAAAATTTACCGAAAACACAGATTGGGGAGATGTATTTTCTCTACTATCATCTCCTTTTTATTTATTTATTTATTTATTTATTTTTCCTGAAGACTCCATTATCATCTATTTCTTGTAATGGGAAATTGTTGTAGTCGATATATAAACTAGTTCTCTTGTTCAAAAAAAAAAAAAAAGAGACAAGTTGTCTTGTTATTCTCTTTGGTAAGGAACAAGGTCGACTTAATGCGTGGCATTTTTTTTTTTTTCCTAAAGTTAATTGATCAATATATGTATTGGATTCAACAGAAGTCTTTCTACATCGTACGTTGGGTTTTCTAGTCAATCAACTGCATGTATCCGTCACGGTGCAGACCCATTTTCCAAGATAACTCAAATTTTCTTTTTCTTTTTCCTTTTTTCCTCTCTTAAGAAACTTCTTGGTCGGAGAAACTATTGGGAAAAAAAATGATCAATCTGGAGTAAAAGTTTATAAATAATGCTGAATTTTATTTCCTTTCTATAAAACCACGTAGAGATATTTTCTACCCCAAAAAAAAAAAAAACCACAACTTAAATAAATAGCATTTTAAATGTTGTCCTAAAAAAAGGATGGATGTCTCCTAAATGTAATTTAAATGTTGAAAAGGAAAAAGGTAAACAATTTCATGCATGATGTATATTTGCAAAGTATATTTGCTCCTAAATATATTATGTTACAAAAGGAAAAAAGAAAAAGGTTAAGGAGACGTTTAGTTCATGAATTATAATCATTTTCGATTTATATGTATTTTTTGTGAGAGAAAATATTGTAGTAAATTACGAACCATAATTCGAATCAGGAAACGAATCTAGATACCACACTTCCCTTAATACTTAATAGCTTCCCTCATCTTGAAAAGGATGGATGTCTTTCTTTTCTTATCATTTCTTGTCCTAAAAAAATAAATAAATTCCCTTCAAAGAGTGGGAGAACTTTGAAGGGAATTAAAGTTATAAAAATTATGTTCATTTTAACTCGATAGTAAAAAGTTATCAGAAACAATCACATTTAATTTTTTTGTTACAGTAAAATATTCTCATATATATTATATATGTTTTTTTTTTTTTTAAAGGCAGTCACTTGTCTCTCACAACCGCCACAGTGAAAAGTTTTTGCCTTCAGTTTGTCGCGTGTTCCACGTCTCTCCCCTCCACTGTCAACGTTGCTTCAGTAAATGGTGACTATATACTTCAGTCTAAAATATAGATATCTTTTTTTCTGGCAATATTTCACCATTTTCCCCTCTTCATTTACTCATTATCTCGTTTCATCAAATTAGGGTGATGGTGTTTAATACAGTGTCAAATTAGTTTATTAACGCCGACGGTAAACATTTGAGTAGAAAATTTCACTTTCTAATATATTGTTCAATTAGTTTATTAATGTTATTGTCTTTATGTCACAATATACAATCACATATAATATATGTTAAACTTTGACATTTTCGTTTAATTGTTTCAACATTATCGTTCTCAAATTATTTTAACTTGATGTTATAATATAACACATAAAATAGCCTTGTAAATTAGAGTATAAAATAATTTGGCATCAAATATGCTTTTTCACATTTAAAGTGGAATATAGTATTGGGACTGCTTAATTACTTTATTATTGTTTTGATTCTCATTTCGATTGCATTAGGACGGGATGTACTTCGAAATGGAGTGCAACAAAAAAGATTTGGGTTGGTTCAACATACTATAAACCATTTTATATTTCCCAAAACTTAGCTTTTACTGTGTAAAATGAAAAAAAAAAAAAAGTCTTTATAAAAAGGGGAATAATGAAAAAAAGCAACAATTCTACTTTTTAACTGTTGATACTTGAATTTCTCAAAATTTGGAAATTTGAAACGTTTTATAAGAGAATAAACACTCTAGGACTAGAATAATATTCCTTTTTAAAGTGATTTTTTTTTTTTAGAATCCTTCTAAAGCGAGGTTATCGCAGTAAAAGATGATGCATAGAGGGCAATGGTAAGAATATGTTGTTGTGAATAAAGCATGAACAACAAAGTGTAAAATCAACAGCAATTTGGTTGGAAAAAGATCCCAAGTGTGGCTCAGCCATAACCTGGCTGGGTTCCATGCATCTCTTATCTTTTTTTCACACTTTTTAATAATTAATCAGTTTAAAACTACTAATTTTTCCTTTTTTAACAGTATTAAAACCACTGATTTCTCTTCTGTGGGAGAAAAACTGACTAAGAACAGCTTTCTCGAAGGAAAAAAAAAATTGAAAAAAAAAAGAGGTAAGACCAGCTTTCCAAGAAAACACCCAACCTTTTGAGGTAAACCAACACTATCCCAATTCCCATTTCCCAAAACTAAAAAATAATTTCCACATCACAAAGCCCCCACTCTTGCCCCAAAGAGCCTTGAGAAGAGACATTTCTAGATCCATATCAATAACCCACCTTGAAATTTGAGAGAGAGAGAACACACTTCCACTCCCATCAATCCCAATCGAGAGAGAGAGAGAGAGAAAGAGAGAGAGAGAGAGAGAACACACTTCCACTCCCATCAATCCCAATCCCAATATCATCATAATACTATATATGCACACAATACTAATAGGAAAAAGGAAAAAATAAAAAGAAAAAAGAAAAAAAAAAAACCATGTGATGAGTTGTATAAAAACAGGAGAAGAAACACTCCATTCTATATATTATCCAACAAAAACCTCATAACCCCAAAAACACTTTCCCCATCATTTC